ATGCGGAGTGCCATGATGGCTAAGATCTGAAGAAGAGAAAAGACTGTCATTAATATAAAATGGGTGGATATTCTCCAAAAAGACCTCATAGATTCGCGGCTATAAATTTTGCGAAAATATATGGGTCTTAAAGTCATGGATATATTAATTTTAAGTTCAGCTCCGTATTATTTGCAGTAGGAGAGAGAAAGAAAGAGTTTATTTTCACGTTACTTTGACTGGCTTTAAAGAAAGGGAGGAACAACTAAATTTTGAATAGAAACCGGTTCGTGCCGGCTTCGAGCAAGTTAAAGCACCTTTGCGTTTCTCGATTTGAAGGAATTAATTGTGGCGTCTCCTGAAAAAAAATATCTGTTTGTCGACGCTAAGACGTGATGTTATACAAACTGAGATAGGCTTTTGTGTTTAATGTCGGATTGGGGATGATTGGCCATTGAAAATCCTCACGTATCTGACACTAACGGCGTTTTTCAATTAGCTGCTTCAGTCGGAAAGGAAAAAAAAAACAGAAATAGTCAAATTGAAGTATCTATTTCTACCCCGTGGGTACTAACGAGTACAAAAGTAAATAACAATTTTAGGTCTATAATTCAGTATTTCTCTCTCTATATATATATATATCGAAACTTTTTATATTAGTACTACTAAGAAAGTTGGTTCACTGTGTCGTACAAGATAGTTTTTTCTCTCCAGAATCTATCTTACATATCTATAAGTCTAAGATTCGTCCATACTTAGAATATCGCGACCACATACGGACCGGTGTCCCTAGCTATTTACCTTGATAAGATCACAAGAATCAGCAATATTAATGGTCCTAAACTGGCTGCTCGGCTTCAGTCACTTCTCACCGCCGTAAGCTTGCCTCTCTGTGTGTCTTTTCTATAAATAATTTCACGGTAATTGTTCAGATGAACTCTTGGCTGTGTATATAGTTTTGTTCATTTTTGTAAATTTTCATTGGGGTTTAGATTTTGGACGATTGTGAACACAACAGCATAAAGGGAAAAGGAAAGACAAAGAAAGAAAGAAACTAATAAAAACAGGGAGAGAAAGAGAAAGTCAAAAAGAAAGAAAGAAAGAAAGAAAGAAAGAAATAAGAACACTGATAAAATCATTAAGAAAAGATAGAGAAAAGGAAAGAGAATATAAGAAAGAAAGAAAGAAAGAAAGAAAGAAAGAAAGAAACTAATAAAATCAGACAGAGAAAGAGAAAGTCAAAAAGAAAGAAAGTAAGTAAGAAAGAAAGAAAAGAAAAGAAAGAATGAAAGAAAGAAAGAAAGAAAAAAGAAAGAAAGAAAGAATTAAACAAAGAAATAAAATCAGACAGAGAAAGAGAAAGTCAAAAAGAAAGAAAGAAAGAAGAAAGAAAGAAAGAAAGAAAGAAAGAAAGAAAGAAAGAAAAAATGAGAGAAAGTAATCAAATCAGACAGAGAAAGAGAAAGTCAAAAAGAAAGAAATTAAGAAAGAAACAATGAAAGAAAGAATGAAAAAAAGAATGAAAGAAAAAAGAAAGAAAGAAAGAAAGAACGAAAGAAAGAAAGTAATCAAATCAGACAGAGAAAGAGAAAGTCAAAAAGAAAGAAAGAAAGAAAGAATGAAAGAAAGAAAGAAAAAAGAAAGAAAGAAAGAAAGAATGAAAGAAAGAAAGAAAAAAGAAAGAAAGAAAGAATTAAAGAAAGAAAGTAAATCAGACAGAGAAAGAGAAAGTCAAAAAGAAAGAAAGAAAGAATGAAAGAAAGAAAGAATGAAAGAAAGAAAGAAAAAAGAAAGAAAGAAAGAATGAAAGAAAGAAAGAAAAAAGAAAGAAAGAATGAAAGAAAGAAAGAAAAAAGAAAGAAAGAAAGAATTAAAGAAAGAAAGTAAATCAGACAGAGAAAGAGAAAGTCAAAAAGAAAGAAGGAAAGAAAGAAAGAAAGAAAGAAAGAATGAAAGAAAGAAAGAAAAAAAAGAAAGAAAGAAAAGAAAGAACGAAAGAAAGAAAGAAATCAAATCAGAATGAGAAAAGTAATCAAAAAAGAGAAAAGAAAAAAAAAAAGAAAGAAATAATGAAAGAAAGAAAGAAATTAAGAAAGAATGAAAGAATGAAAGAAAGAATGAATGAAAGAATAAAGATAGAATGAAAGAAAGAAAGAAAGAAAGAAAGAAAGAAAGAAAAAAGAAAGAGTGAAAGAAAGAAAGAAAGAAAGAAACTAATCAAATCAGACAGAGAAAGAGAAAGTAAAAAAGAAAGAAGTAAACGACAAAGACAACGAGAGAAAAGAACCGATAAAATATAAAGAAAAGAAAAAGGAAAAATTGGTGAAGAGAAAAAACTGAAAGAGAAAAAAAACCGTAGAAGGTGAGTCAGAGAAAGATAAAGTAAGGAAGGACGTAAGGAACAAAAACTATGAAAGACAAAAAGGATAGATAATACAATTGGTTGGTTTGTTAATTTGTTTAACGGCATATCAACTTCTTATGGGTCTTTTATGATGATATTCAACTTTTATGCATAGTCTTTAATAAAATCCAAAAAATAATCAGCAATATTAATGGTCCTAAACTGGCGACACGGCTTCAGTCACTTTCCCACGGCCATTAGGTTCCTTCTCTGTGTCTTTTCTATAAATAACTTCATGGTAATTGTTCGGATAAACTCTTAGATATGTTGTCTAGATATTTTCAATTTAAGCGCAGTACTAGACCTACATCGAAATGTCATCAATTTACAGTTGATCTGGCTAGATGTAGCCGTAAATTCTATGCTAACAGTTTATTATCTGGCACTTCTCGCTTGGGAAATACCCAACTTTAATCTTCAAATGTTTAAATTATTATTAATGTTTCTGTTCCTAATTCTTCCATACCAGTAACCTCTGGTTCCTTAGTGGCTTTATTGCCTTCCTTGTGGAACTTCCTTCTGGCACCATGCTTTCCAGCCAACTTTTATCTTCAAATATTTAAATGCAATGTTAATCACTATCTATTGTCCTCCTGATTACTCTTTCCTCTTCCTGCTCATTATTAATATTTCTGTTCCTAATTCTTCCACACCCAGTAACCCCTTGTGTCTTAGTAACCCCTTTGGAAGTCCCTTCCGGCTCCATGCTTTCCAGCCAACTTTAATCTGAAATATTTAAATGCAATGATAGGATCTACTGTCCTCCTGATTACTCTTTCCTCTTCCCGCTCATTATTAATATTTCTGTTCCTAATTCTTCCACATCCAATACCCTTGTGGCTTTTACAAGGGATGATACCGATTATATATATATATATATATATATATATATATATATATATATTAGTGTAATAGGTAGATATACACCTACACCTTACCTAGAGTCCACCTTATGATGTATCGTAACGATATACCATAATATTCATTAATCGTGCCGAGCTTAGAAAAAGGACCCTTTCATATGTATTTTTGGGGCGAGCGGAATAAAAAAATCGGCGATCACCACCCCCTCGTCATCCCCGCCACATCCTCCTACGCATCCTCTTAATCAGTTCCATTTACTAATTTTAGCCACCGATGTTCCACGCAGCTGTCTAGCTAATGTACCCTCTGCTTCTTTCATCCTGAGTATGACGATACGGCAGCTAAACCTCTGATCAACATGTTTTAAGGAGCGTGATACCGCCTATTAATTGCCGTTGTTCCTAGGTCAACCGTGACCCGTGGTGGTAGCACCTGATAGGGTCCCAGCTATGTGCAAATAGTGAAACAGCAAACACAAACTAAAGTATAAAATACATTTCAATAGTAAAAATACATGCAATTTATTTTTATATGAAAAAATACCAACAATATATTATAATATTAAAAATGACTAAAAATAGATTTTTATAATAAAATAACCAACAATGCATTATTATAGTAAAAATGACCAACAATACATTTTTATATTAAAATGACCCAAAAATACATTTTTGTATTAAATTGACCAACAATGCATTTTTATTGCAAAATGACCAAAAAAATACATTTATATTAAATTGACCAACAATGCATTTTTATCATGTTAGAACGTGATTACGATTCCAATGTAGTAAATTATAACCATGGGATATTAGTGTTTGAGACTTATATATATATATATATATATATATATATATATATATATATATATATATATATTAGGTTAGTGCAAAAATAATGACGTAATAATGTCGTTTTTGACGTTAAAAAGTACGTCCAAAACGACACTATTACGTCATTATTTTTGCACCAACCTAATATATATAGTAAAGGTAATAAATCCGTTGCTATTTAATCCAAGTGGATCCTAGTAATATAAAATATTAAAACTGATCCACAAAAAGAGCTCAATGTATTTATGAATACAGAGCAATATAATTAATAGACAATAAAAGCTAAAATTACCTCGTATGGGGAATAGTCAATTTCGACAGACGAAGATATCGCTCGTCTGTCTTAGCAACTCCGGTGTGGATTGAGTTCATGTTTCTAAAGTGAAAAAGAGCGGGAAATAGAATTTAACTGTGAAAGCTAAAATGTCAAGCAGTCGAACAACTAATACAGAATGTTTTATTCAGACAAAAGGCACAGTGCAGGGATCAGGAGAGGGCGGAAGTCATTTATCTTAAAGGGATGTTCCTGCAGTTCATGTTTTTAAGATCTCTGGAGAACCTTCTGACCCCTCTAACTATCGCTGGATTAGCCTCCTACCGCTTTTCGGCAAAGGATTCGAGGCTTTAATCAATGCTGAAGTTGTTATGCATCTTAAGTCTCACTACGTACTCTCTGACAAACAATATGGCTTCTGTTTTGCCAGGACTACCGCTGATGTGCTAACAATACATGTGCTTCTGTTTTCCAAGAGGAAGCCAGGAACTCCCTAATATTCTTTTTTTTTGAATTTTTTTTTTTTTTTTTGATGTGCTGATAATCGTATTTACGATTCCATCATGGTTGTTTAAGCCTTTTATATATATATATATATATATATATATATATCAAACTCTTGATAATAACGACGAAGATCTAAAGG